GGGGTGGTGTTTCCCAATAAAGTTTGTTGTCCTTAAGAATGTATGTAAGCATGCCAATATATAAATCAATTGTAAAAGTAGCATTGATTCGTTCAAGCAAGGTAGTATTTATCCTTCCAAATGTTCTTTAGTTACATCTGTGTAGTTGGGCAAGCTTCTGGATTTGAAATATTATGGCATAGGATTGAATTCTTTGGTGAGGATGTACCTATTCTGACCTCTAATTTGGAAAGTCATCTTGACTTTTGGACTTGTAAAGGTACTTAAATGCAGATTATTACCTTTGAACTTAAAGCTACTGACTTCAGAATTTCATGCATCTTATGACACCCATGGAACACAAACTCAGAAAGTCAGTTCCATGTTTGTTTTCTATAAACCTTAACAAAATGGGATCTTCATATACCCACTTCTTTGTCAGACAAATTTTGTATTCTATTTCTGAATGTGCATAAGTTGATAAATTTATACTAGTATATAAGGTGTGCGTTCTAGCGCAAGTGGGTTAACACTATTATTAGCTGATCTGAAAAAAAGAAAGACTGGCTTTTAAGCACTCTGAAGTTGCTAATCACATTTCTGGAGTGGATTCTTTGTCCAGTTCTCAATACCATAAGAAATCTGGAAGAAAACATAAAATTATTCACTAAAACTTCCAGATGAAACACAGTTTAGAAGAGTGGTAGAAAGTATAAGGTGATTTTTAGAAAAACGCATGCATTCTCTTGAATAACAGGTAAGCTTGATCAACAACCAGTTTGGCGAAATAAAAAATTCAGGAACTTGAACTTGTATATGAAATCTGGCATGAAATTTTACGAAGTAGTAACTCTGAAAAAGTTCTAGGAATCGTGCTCAATCACTGAATGAATATAAGCTCTCATTGGTAAGGTAATGAATGCTGGCACTGGCCATGTGAATAAAGAACTGCAAGTAGAAGTATGGAAGAGGTAAAGGTAGTCCTTATGTCAATATATGATAAATTATTTTGAATAGTGCCATGCATGGCAATTGTAATACTGTCACTTGAACATTATCCCTGTTCAGTTAAGTCAGAGGACTTATGGAGTAATTTGAGGAAATCCACCTTTACAGTGACACATTAATAGTTGGACAATACTCGTAGTTAGTACTGTGGGGTGTGAAGGATACCTTTTATTCAAGGAAAAGGAGCTTATATATACACCAGTGTTGTTGGGGTTTTTTTACTTTCTTCAAAAAAAGTAGCAGATAAGAGATAAACCTGTTGAAAATCTGCAGGTAACAGCTAATGGTGAAAATAATCTTGAAAAATCTTGGTTTTCCTTTTTGTGATTACAATCAGAGCACAGGAAAGGGTCTGTTCCAGTACATGTTGAGAAAGATAAATGGCAAGAAAGAGCCTATTCAACAAGTTCTTCGAGTACTATCTAAAACTTCTGAAAAGAACCATGTTCCATAATTTAAGACAAAATTAAAAAGACATTAAATGAGATGCAAATGGTGAAGGACAAAATGTTTAATGAAAATACAGTAACAGGAGACAAATGAGCAAGAAGATGGTTGCCTTTGGCTAAGCAAATTGGGAATAAGCTTGAATGCTTGTTTTCATTCTGTCTTTAGCATAGTGGTCAACTTTAATCATATGGTTACACATGATCAGTTACATAGAAGGAAGCATTTGGTACAGAACAAGCAACTAGACTACTTTGATAAATTAGGTGAGTTAATATCATTTGAACTTGATATTCACTGAAGAATAATAGGGAGTTGGCTGAAGCAGTCTCAGAAACATTAACAAAATGCTTTAAGAGAATTGTTTGTAATCAAACTGGAAAGCAGGATTCTGGGAATCTGTTTATTTGCGATCTGGAGGAAACAACAGATTACCTTTGTTAAATTAGCAGACAACAAAAATATATGGGGCAGGAAATAGGAAAATGAAAGAAAAATGCAAACTTATGTGCTAAGGTTACATTTTCATAAGTAGTTGTTCTAATGAAGAGCTGAGGGGATCACTCTTTTCCCTTCCTCTAATACATGTTGGAGCTTTTACTGATCTGGTTCACTTTAAGTTGGAAGAAGTGTGTTCCTTTTTTAATTTTGTAGGATAGTTTTATGCTGGGTTGGTAGATTGAGTCAGTTCATTGAAGTTAAAAGCTAGGTCAAAGTAAACAAAATATGTTTACCTTGGGAGATCTCGGGGAAGAAAAGATTATTACAGTAAGTGGTTTGTATGAGTTGCACAAACAGAAGAGGTTAGACAGCATTTAGGCAACTTAAAATCTAGGAAACATAAGTAGAAAGCTGCGAGCAAACTGATAGTGCTGTGCTATTGAAGAAAACAAAAGTGGACACTCATAAAATGGACAGACTTGGTTTTCTTTTCAGCCTGAATCCTTTGCCCAGTTTCGATGGTTGCATTGGAAAAAAAAAAGATAGGAGGCATCTTAAGGGAGTACAGAGGAGAGCAACAAATGGGATTGGTGATATGGAACGTGTAGTATTTGAAACTTGTAAGAACTGGGGCTGTTCAGTTCAGAAAAGAGATGGCTTTGTAAAAGGAGTGAAATGCTGGGGCTTCAACCCCAAGCCCCAAATTAAGGTTGACATATGTGTGATTCCCACAGCCCTTCCCAAAGGGGGGATGAGTTTGCCTTTAGGCTCCCCTCCAGGGTTCGGCCAGCCTGGCAGGGAGAGCCATTGGGTAAATAAGCCCCAGGTGTCTGCATTAAGTAAGCAAAGGTCAGGTGTCCCACTGAGGGATAAAAGCTGGGACCACTTGCAGGCAGGGGCAGTGCCTGTCTGTGAGGTGAACGCACTTTGAAGAGTTCCCTGTTGGGGAAGGACCTCCTGCCTCCCTGGGACTGGGCTCCAGTCAGGTCTGGCCTTTGTAAATGCAGGCTGTGTAGAGATTCAGTGTGTGGCTTCCTTGGTCTTATGTATTTGGCTTGTTGACTCGGTTGTCTCCCGTCCCTTCTATGGGAAACTGCATTTCCCCATTTATTCCACCCATTGTCGGTCGTGTGGTGTCGTTGTTGGGGTCAGTGGGATTGATGTTGATTATGTATAATCTGACTGACTTGTTTGTACCCCTGGCACTCACCCATGTACTGACCTTTTTGTATCAAATACTGTTTGGTTATTCGTTCATCTTTACGCTGACTGTGTCCTTTGTCCTTTATGCTAGGCCTAATAATTGGGAAAACAAGGAGACATATTAATGATCATCAGGAATGTTAAAGGCTACCACAGAGAGGAAATTATTCTGTGTAATCCTTGTGGAGAAGATAATCTTTGCAGCTAAAGAGATTTAGGTTAAACATTAGGGAAAACTTCCTAAAGTGTTGGAATAGTTGACCTACAAAGTGAAACTTTTCAATAGCAGATTAAGCAAATACTTTTTAGGACTGATGCATAAAAGGTTGATCCTGCCTTGGGGGGCGGGGTGGGGGGATGGGCACCGTTAGCTGTTCTGTTTTTCAGGATTCTGTGAAGCACAGCTTAATCAAAAGAAATGTAAGATGTGGCCCAAAAGAAGGTTTTGAATGGAAGGAGAAACTAAGAATCAAGTTAATGGTGATGGTAGTTAAGTGGAAGCATTACCAAAAGCATTATATTTACCATCACTGTGAGTCTTTAAATCAAGTAGTTAAAATAAAGGCTTGGTTGTAGATCTGCCAAAATAATTCAGTAAGGTGGTAGTCTCTTTACACTTTGCTTTCTCTTCAAATAACTTACTCTGGTTATCTAGTATGTTATTTTGTCTATACCCTGAAAAGAGAAAGTCAGTACTGATGGTTCCCTTTTTGAGAAAGTCTTGCACAAAGAAAGGTAATTCACTATATGATCAAAGGAAGTAAAAAGTTTTCTGGTGGTAGAGAATCTACCATTACAGAATCCATACTCAAAGAATAAATGTAAAATACTTACTAAACATAATTAATATGGTCTTGAAGGAAAGGAAACTGTTCCTACATTTAACTAGAATGAACAGTTCTTAAAGGCGATGCCTGAAAGGCATATGGGTGATTTACTGTATGACTGGCATATAATTTGTATTATAAAGGATTCTGGATGAAATATAAGAACATCTTTAAGTAAGAGATGTGTTTTTGAGGCCAGAGATTTAAAAGTGATCAAAACTCCATTGTGAAGTATTAGAATTTACTGAGCATTACCACAAGGTCTTGTCATTAGACATTTAACTGAAAAATCATTAATGGTCCTCTGTCTAGCTGTGGATGCGTATTGACATATGGACATATGCATATGGTAGCATAAAATAGCCATGAAGTTGTCATAAATACCATGTATTTTGACACCAGAATTTTTGAAACCAATATAACAATTTTTAAAATGTTGATCATTGAGGGAAAACATAATATGTAGTTATGATCATAGTCTCATCTGTGAATAGCTGGTTTTGCCAAGAGGGATGGCCCTGTAAGATAACCACAAATAGCCATTTGGAAAAGGATTTGTTTATAAATAAGATTCGGAATCTCCTATTCCTTCTTCTAAGGGATTTCTGTGGTGACTAATAAAATCCATATATTAATACCTAGGTAGATAATAAAAGTTTTCTTCATCCATGCTTTAATATTTTTTTCTCCTTCTAAATCCATTTCTAGATCTTAGTTTGGGTATTTTTTCAGAGCCAGTAGCAATCAAAGCAGGACAAGATAGGGACTGAAGCTCAAGTAAGTTTTTTTTAATCTATCCTTAAAAATTCAGGAGTTAGATTGTCTTTGCTAATTTATCAACAGCTCTCTTGGCAGTATTGCCAACATTCACACTGAGGGAGGAACTGATATTTTAAAACGTAGGGTGTC